GAACAATCTTTTTGATGTGTTGTTGAATTCGGTTTGCCATTATTTTGTTGAGGATTTTTGCATCAATGTTCATTAAGGAGATTGGCCTATAGTTCTCCTTTTTGGAGGTGTCTTTGCCTGGTTTTGGGATAAGTGTAATACTGGCTTCATAAAATGTGTTAGGCAATTTTCCTTCCCTTTCTATTTCGTGGAACAGTTTAAGGAGGGTTGGTATCAGTTCTTTAAGGATCCATCAGGTCCTGGACTTTTCTTTTTGGGGAGACTCTTGATTGCTGCTTCAATTTCATTTTGTGTTATAGGTCTATTCAGGTGGGTGGGTGATTAATTTCCTCTTGGTTCAGTTTTCGATGATCATATGTATCTAGAAATCTGTCTATTTCTTTAAAATTTTCAAATTTATTTGAATATAGGTTCTCAAAGTAGTCTCTGATGATTTCCTGAACTTCCATGGTATTTGTTGTTATCTCCTCTTTTGCATTCCTGATTCTACTAATTTGGGTTTTTTTCTCTCCTCATTTTAGTCAGGTTTGCCAGGGGTCTATTTATCTTGTTTAGTTTTTTAAAGAACCAACTTTTTGTTTCATTAATTCTTTGTATGGTTTCTTTGGTTTCTATTTCGTTGATTTCAGCTCTTATTTTTATTATTTCTCTCCTTCTATTTGTTTTGGGATTTGCTTGTTCTTGTTTTTCTAGGAGTTTGAGATGTATCATTAGGTCATTGATTTGGGATCTTTCAGTCTTTTTAATCTATGCACTCATGGCTATAAACTTTCCTCTCAGGACTGCCTTAGCTGTGTCCCATAGGTTCCGGTAGGTTGTGTTTTCATTTTCATTGACTTCCAGGAACTTTTTAATTTCCTCTTTTATTGCATCGATGATCCATTCTTCATTAAGTAATGAGTTATTTAGTTTCCAGCTGTTTGCATGTTTTTTGTCTTTACTTTTGTTGTTGAGTTCTACTTTTACTGCATTGTGATCAGATAGTATGCACGGTATAATTTCTATTTTCTTATATTTGCTGAGACTTGCTTTGTGCCCTAGGATATGATCTATTTTGGAGAAGGTTCCATGGGCTGCTGAGAAGAATGTATATTGTGTAGAAGTTGGATGAAATGTTCTGTAGACATCAACTAGGTCCATTTGATCTATTGCATATTTTAGATCTTGGATTTCTTTATTGATTTTTTGTTTGGATGACCTATCTATTGATGATAATGGGGTGTTAAAGTCTCCCACAACCACTGTGTTGGCGTTTATATATGCTTTTAGGTCTTTCAGGGTATGTTTGATGAAATTGGGTGCGTTGACATTGGGTGCATACAGATTGATGATTATTATTTCCTTTTGGTCTATTTCCCCTTTTATTAGTATGGAATGTCCTTCTTTATCTCGTTTGATCAATGTAGGTTTGAAGTCTACTTTGTCAGAGATAAGTATTGCTACTCCTGCCTGTTTTCGGGGCCATTGGCTTGGTAAATCTTCTTCCAGCCTTTCATCCTAAGCCTATGCTTATTTCTGTGTGAGATGGTCTCCTGTAAGCAACAAATTGTTGGATCTTCCTTTTTAATCCATTTCGTCAAGCGGTGCCTTTTGATGGGTGAATTAAGTCCGTTAACATTAAGCGTTAGTACTGATAGGTATGTGGTGATTCCTGTCATTTAGTTGTCTTAGTTGTTTGAAGGTTTGATTGTGTGTACCTAAGTTGAGGTTACTCTCTACTGTCTTGCTTTTTCTTTTCCTGTGGTTTGGTGCTGCCTGTCTTTTCATGGTTAAGTTGGGTTTCACTTTCTGTGCAGAATCCCTTGCAGAATCTTTTGTAGTGGTGGCTTTGTGGTCACATATTGTTTTATTTTCTGCTTATCATGGAAGACTTTTATTGCTCCATCTATTTTGAATGATAGTTTTGCTGGGTAGAGTATCCTGGGGTTGAAGTTATTTTCATTCAGTGCCCGAAGATCTCACCCCATGCTCTTCTTGCTTTTAATGTTTCTGTTGAGAAGTCTGCTGTGATTTTGATGGGTTTACCTTTGTATGTTACTTGTTTTTTCTCTCTTACAGCCTTCAATATTCTTTCCTTAGTTTCTGAACTTGTTTTTAATGATGATATGTCGTGGGTAGTTCTATTTTGATCTGGTCTGTTTGGTGTCCTGGAGGCCTCTTGCATCTGTATGGGAATATCTTTCTCTAGATTTGGGAAATTTTCCGTTATTATTTTGTTGAATATATTACGCATTCCCTTTGCTTGCACCTCTTCTCCTTCTTCGATGCCCATGATTCTCAAGTTTGGTCTTTTGATGGAGTCAGTGAGTTCTTGCATTTTCTTTTCACAGGTCTTGAGTTGTTTAATTAATAGTTCTTCAGTTTTTCCTTTAATTACCATTTCATCTTCAAGTTCTGAGATTCTGTCTTCTGTTTGTTCTATTCTGCTGGATTGGCCTTCCGTTTTGTTTTGCAGTTCTGTTTCATTCTTTTTTCTGAGGTTTTCCATATCCTGGCTGTTTTCCTCTTTAATGTTGTCTATTTTTGTCCTGAGTTCATTTATCTGTTTATTCATTGTGTTCTCTCTTTCACTTTGGTGTTTATACAGTGCTTCTATGGTTTCCTTTATTTCTTCTTTTGCTTTTTCAAATTCTCTATTTTTGTTGTCTTGGAATTTCTTGAGTGTCTCCTGTACATTTTGGTTGACCCTATCCAGTATCATCTCTATAAAATTCTCATTGAGTACTTGTAGTATGTCTTCTTTTAAATTATTCTTGTGGGCCTCATTGCGTCCTTTGGCATAGTTTATCTTCATTTTGTTGGAGTCTGGATCTGAATTTCTGTTTTCTTCATTCCCCTCTGGTTTTACTAATTTTTTGCTGTGTGGAAACTGGTTTCCCTGTTTTTTCTGTCTTTCTGTCATTGTTTGGTGTTGTTACTGTCCCTGTACTGTGTGCAATTAAGTATTTTCTAGCTTGTAATAATAACAATGGTAATATTTAGAATGGAAGGGTGAGCTGAGATGGAAAGCAAGAAGTTAAAGAAAAGGGGAAAACAAATACACAGACAAGAGGGAGAAAGCAGAACAAGGTTTCAGACAAGAAAGTTTCAAAGGTATAAACATGGAGCATTGGTGTACTAATTGACAGTAAGCTGAACAGACATTAGAAGACAGAGATAGGATTGAAAATCAGAAATAAAAAAAAGTTAAGATAGGAATAAAAATAAAAAATAAGTAAATGAAAGTAATATCTATATATTAAAAATGAATTAAAATAAAGTGGAAAATAGAAAATTTTAAAAAAACCCAAAAAACCCTCCAAGTTCAAATGCAATGAAGTTTCCGTCTTAATAATTTGGGTGTCCGTCTCATTCTCCAATCCTGGAGATGGTGCCTCAGATGTTGTTCTGTAGTTGTCTCATCAAAGGGGACGCATAAAGTAGAACAAAACTACACACACACACACACACACACACACACACACAGACACAAACCCACCTAGTGTCCCAAGTTCAAATGCAATACAGTTTCAGTAAGTTTTTCAGCTTGCAGGTGTAATTCGGTTGTTCTCTCATCAAAGGTAGGGAGAAAAAGAAAAAAAAGAGTCTGGAGACAGTTCTGAGAATGGAATCTGCAGCTGTGGATTGCCTGCCTGCTGCTGTCAGCCTGCTGTTGCTGGAGGCATTGTTTATGCAGATCTCTGGGGTGAGCTTAGGACTCACCTGGTACCGCAGGCTTTGTTTGTTCAGATTTCTCCTGTGCAGGGGCCTCTGCTACAGCTTTCCCCTTTCCAAGCACTGGGAAAGGTGACACTGCACCCACATTGTCAGGCCTGCGTGTTTATTTACAGTTCACGTGGGAAGTGTGTCTTCCCTCCTCTCCTGTGGAGTTTTCCTCCCTCCGCCACTCTTACAAGCTTCCCGGCTCCTGGTTGCTGGGCCCGCCCGGCTTATTTATTTACAGTCCTGGGAAGGATTCCCTTCCCCCAATCTTCAGCGCTCAGTGCGCCCCACCCTCTTTCCTGCGTGTCTTTATTGCTCTTATTGCTTATTACTCAGTTTCGCTGGTCAGTCTGTCCAGCGGGCTATGCTGCTCTGGCCCAGGCTTGTCTGTGGGGCTACCGTGGTACCGCGAAGCTCACCTGGTCTGTGTCTTCCCAAGCCGTCTGGGCGCCGGCAACTGACAGCCGGGGGCCCTCCTTATTTCTCTGTTTAACGTGAAGTGGAGATTTTCTGCGCCAGCTGGAGGTGTGGAGGGGTCAAAGTTATGCCTTTTCTCGGTGATTATGCCTGCAAAGTGTGTCTCCAGCGTCTCTCCAAGATTTCACTATAGGAGGCTCGCTTTCTGCTTCCTCCCTCTAGCCGCCATCTTAGAATCCCTAATTCTAATTTTTATGTTTATGTTTTCTCCCTTTTTGCTTGTTAATATTGCTTGATTTTTCCCTACTTTACAACTTTTTTGGACTTCATGTATGTGTGACATTTTACTTGGGAGTGTATGTAGTTTGACATCAATTTTTTTATTACTTATTTAATATGTATTTAGGTTTAAGTTAAAGAATCAGCCCATAACTTGCTTAGAATGTCACTTTTGCTCTTAGGTCTAGTCTCTCCTATATAAATAGAATCTCCTTTCTCATAGCTTCTCATTTTTAAATTGTGTTAAGAAATAATTAGGAGAAAGTAAGTGGAAAGAAGCTAGCCATTGTCAAGGAATTAGTGCATTTTGGAAATAAAAATTGAGAATTATTTTCCATGTGTCTCATCCTGGTGTCCAGTTTGTCAATAAAAATCTTTTAACCAGTTAATTGATAACTGCTTTTTTCTTGGATTCCTGGAGAAATGGGAGGTATAGCTTTTCTTCATTTATGTATAAATAATTATGCCAAGTTCATTAAACATCTAGCATGTAAGTTTGACTTAAGTTATTTTGATACCAAAATTCTGGATCATTTTATAATTAGTTGTATTTTGTCATAATTTTGAGTTGCAACATCACTATATTCTTTTTTATTGGTTAGATACATACAAATCCATGTTTTTATCAGTCTTCTAAGAAGAGCCAGCTCTTACCAATGAAGACAAATGTATGGCATTGGCTGCATCCTGGAGATAGTTTTTCTTTGTTAGCCAACAAGTACATCTTCCATGTTTTCTCTACACATTCCAAAATGGAAAATGACTGTACATTAAGGTAAGTGTTTGACAGGTAAAATAAGAGTAAGTAATGATATTAGTAATCTAATTCCTCAACCATCACACATGCTTCAGTGGAAACCATTCTAGTCTCAAACTATACTGGATTTGTAGCTACATCATTTTGCGTGTGTGTGTGTGTAGTACATGTGTGCATTTCTAGATAACAATTGACTTTGGAAACTTATTAGGCCTTATTAGTGATTGCTCCAATATGTGGTATCTTCTATCTTTGTATTCAGAATATATTTTCTACCCAGCAGTACCAAGTATAGTTAATTTGAAATGGACTACATTTTCTTCATTTTTTAGCTTTCTAAATTTTAAGGTATCAATTTGTGACTCAGACCATACTCATATAACTCCAGTTTCTTATAAAAATATCAGAAAATATAGAATTGGGAAAATAAGTGGTATTAGAATAAACATATTAACATCTGGAATAAAGTTAAAATCCATGCTTTTGTTTTTTGAGCCAATTGTTAGAAGATTATTTGATTTGTTTCAGGTTTTAAATTACAGAATGTATAAACTATACCTGGCAATGTAGATGGACAGAATTACACAGAGTATGTTTTCTAATTGCAATGGTATTAAATCAGAAATAAGGGACAGTAAACTATCTGGAAAAATATTCATATATTTTTAAGTTAACACATGTTTAAGTAATTCCTAGGTCAGTGAGAATTCACAGGGAAAAATGAGAAAGCATTTTGAACAGAATGATACCAACAGCATAAAAATTTGTGAGATGCAGTTAAATTAGTCCTTAGAGGGAAATTAGTAATTGAATGATTATATTGGAAACAGAAGAAAGCTATAAAGCTAATGACCTGTGATCCTTCTTTAAAAAAGTAGGCCATAAGGGGCAAATAAGTCCCAAATTAAATAGAAAAAAAGAAAAGAAAATTAAAGAAGACCACAAGTCCATGAAATAGAAAATAGGCATAAAAAGACCAGTAAAGCCATAAATTGGTTCTTTGAAAAAGTTAATAAAGTTGGGTAATCTTTTTTTTTTTTTTTTTTTTCTGGTGGTACTGGGGTTTAAACTCAGAGCCTCACACTTGCTAGGCAGGCGCTTTACCACTTGAGCAACCCCACCGGCCCTTTTTTGTGTTAGGTATTTTTGAAATAGGGTTTCATGAACTATTTTGTCCAGGCTGGCTTTGAACCATGATCCTTCTGATTTCTGCCTCCAAAACAGTCATGATTACAGGCATTAACCATTGGCATCCAGCTGGTAAAATCTTAATTAGGTTTATAAGGAAAAAATAAAAAGTGAGGAAGCACAAATTATCAATATCAGGTATACAAGAAAGGATATCATTTTTGATACTGCAGAGCTTAAAAAATAATGAAGAAATATTATTTAAAATTATGTCAATAAATTTCACAGTTTAAATGAATGGTTACATTTCTTAAAAGACACAACTTACTAAAACTGATAAAGGAAGAAATAAAAATCGATGAATTCTATACCCATTGAAAAGTTGAATTAGTAATTTAAGAATATCTTACAAGAAACGTCAATGAATTTTGTTAAACTTTTGAGGGAGAAATAATGCCACTATTGTACTGTTTTTTCAAAAATAGAAGAGTATACACTTGTAACTCATTCTATGAAGGTTCCATAATCATGATACAAATCAGGCAAGACATTAAAAGAAAAAAATGTATGGACCAATGTTCCTTATAACAAAATATTTACAAATCAAATTCAATAGTATATGAAAAGGGTAGTACACACTGACAAGGCTTGTCCAAGAAATGCAAGATTGGTTTATTGTATAAAAATTAATCAAAGAGCCTGGAACCAGTGGCTCATACCTGTAATCCTAGCTACTGGGGAGGCTGAGATTGGGAGGTTTGGAGTTCTAGGCCAGCATATATTTCCTGAGACCCCCATTTCCAAAATAACCAATGCAAAATGAACTAGAGGTGTGGCTCAAGCAGTAGAGTGCCTGCTTTGCAAGCATGAAGCCGAGTTCAAACCCCAGTGCCACCCCAACCCCCCCCCCATATCATTCAAAACAACTCATTATAATAGATTAAAGAACTATCATTTTGGCTAGGGTGTAACTCAGTGGTACAGCACTTGCCTAACATGTGTAAGGCCCTATGCTTGGTCCCCAGCATTGGAGAAAAACAAACAATCTATCTTTTGAATAGATGCTCAAAAGACATTTTGATAAAATTCAACATATGATCATGATTTATAAATAAAACTCTGAGAGAACTAGGGAAAGAAAACTTCTTATAAAAAAATTAATGAGCTATTGAAAGATTGGAAACAAATAAAAATACAATTTATGGAAAGAAAAAAGTAAAATTGTGTTTATTTGCAGAGAACATGATTACATATTTAGAAAATCCTGAGGAATCTATCCAAAAAAAGAAGCAAATCACAAAACATTACCTATTATTAGTTACATTTATATTAAGTTCTATAATAAGCAAACTAACCTATACTGATAGAAATTTAATCAAAGGTTATTTCCAAGGGAAGAGGCCCAAGGGAATTTTGTGTGCTGTTGGACATATTCAGAGTATTGATAAGGGTGCATGTTATGTGGGTGTATTCATTTGTCAAAACTAATCAAATTACACACTTAAGATATATACATACAGGAGTTATATCTAAAATATTTTAATAGTAAATAGGAAATTATTTTTTATTTTAGCTAATGGAAATTCATTAACCGAATATTCCTTTCCTTTTTTCTCTTATACATGATAAGGCATGCTGTTTTTCACCAGCTGCTGATATGAGGGATGTAAAGAAATATTTTTGTTGGTGGTGTTGTAACAAACCTCCTTAGAATCACACACCTTTTTCAAAAATCTGGAAACTTTACATTTCCTTGGAAGTCAGGGGTGGGGTAGGGTGGGGTAGAAGCTCTAATCCTGTAATCATATGATTGGTTCTCCAGAAGCCACCTTCCCTACCACCCCATGTTTTGGGGCTCCAAAAGTCCCCTCATCAGCATAAACTCAGACGTTTATGTTGAAATAGGCTTGTTGCAAATAACAAAGGTGGGCATGTTAATTTTCTACAAGTTCGATATTTCAATATTTTACATGCTTTGTGTTAGTTGATGCACAGGGCTAAAGAATAAGGGTGGGCATTATATATTCTGATGTTATCTGAAAAGTACCAGGTATTCTGGGTTCTAAAGAAAGATTGTTTAGCTGCCAACATCTTAATCATTTAGGTGGTGTTTTTCTTTAGAATTTAGAATTTGAGGCAAAGGGAGGGGAAGCAAAAGTAATTGCCAAGGACAACTCCCAATGGAGTGGCCACTGTTATACTACTGTATAAACTTTACATGTATGAACTTTTAAATTGTCCTAACAATCTCTATGGAAATAGGTACTGTTAATATTCTTGTGTCACAGATGAAGACAGACATAGAAGGCTTGAGACATGTCCAAAGTCACAGAGCTATACATGCAAAGTAGAATCCAAATTCACATCAGCTATTCCCAGAGCTGTGCTCTACAGACTGCCACCTGCTGTATGAGAGTGCTCAACTTGAATTGTGAAAATACCTGGAGAATGACTAATAAGTTTCATAAATTCTATACTGGAATGAAAGAATGAACTAGAGAGAGCTCCAGATTAAAATCTGGATAAAACAACAAACATTTACAAATGTTTAAGGATATACTATTCCTATCAAATAATGAATTTATACATACATATAATAAATTAATAAAGACATGCATAGTAATAAAAAGCATTAAATTCTGGCTATAAATTCCATACTTTTAGGGAAAGAATAGGAGGTAGAGAAAAACGTTTGAAGCTCAGTACAGGTTGGGCTTTAATTATATTTGCAATTAATATGGAGAAAAATATGAATGTTTCTTTTGGGGTGGAAGATACATAATTATTCATATTTATAGACAGGTAGGTAGAATATTCTCCATATAGTTCTATATGTTGAAATATTTTTAAAAATTTAAAAATACTAGAAAAGTGCTGGGTGCCAGTGGCTCACACTTGTAATCTTAGCTACTCAGGAGGCAGACATCAGGAGGATTGAGGTTCAAAGTCAACTTAGGGCAAATAGTTCACAAGACCCTATCTTGAAAAATCCCATTATAAAAAAGAGCTGGTGAAGTGGCTCAAGCAGTAAGAGTGCCTGCCTAGCAAGCATGAGGCCCTGAGTTTAACAGCAGTTCTACCAAAAACATAAATAAATAAAAAGAAATACCCAAACTTACACTTTGTTTTGAGAAATTAAAGAGAAAACCAAGTGAGAAAAAAATATTTGATTTTACATTTAGGTAATTAAATGACAACATTTTATATTGAAGCAACAGTGTTATTTTTGTATTCCTGTTATATCTCCAATAGTGGGTGCTTGCTTAGTAAGTGTTGATTTCTTGAATACATGAATGAAATATTTGAGAATATCAAATTGAGTGATATTGTGATAAGTATAAGATATTGTTTTCATAGCTGAACTTCATTGCCAATTAGGATATATGACATTGTTTTTCTAGGGAGATTTTCTTTAAGGCACTCTTAAGGAAAGGAAAAGAAATTTTTTTGTCATATTGAATTAAATTTTTATCAAATTGTTAAAGATGTTGGTACTTAGATTCAATATAAATTAAGTTACTAATTTTAATCACTAATTTTTTTTTGGTTTTTTTTTTTAATTGTGCTGGGGTACATTGTGGTATTTACAAAAGGTCTTACAATATATCAAATATATCATACTTGAATTCACCCCCTCTATCATTCTCCTTTAACCACATTCCCCCCATTCCTGGAATAGTTTCAACAGGTCTCTTTTTCCATTTACATACACATGTACACAGTATTTGTACCATGTTCACTCTCCTACACCTTTTCCCCACATCTTCCCCCCTGCCACTGGTGCCATCCCTCTAGACAGGGCCAGTTCTGCCCTCCTTGTTCTCCATTTTAAATAAAGCAATGAAAATACCAGTGTAGCATGACAATAAAAATTTAATTTACTTATAACTATTTTAAAACTTAGTTTTAGATCTAGCTCATTCATATTAATAGCATATTTTATATTAAAGATGCAAAAATACGTAACTACTTAAACATAATTTATAATGTATTTTGAAGGCTTAAGAATAAGTTAATTGCCAAAACAATCTTTAAAAAAAGGAAGGATTATGTTGGAGAATTCATACTTCTGAATTTCTAAATCTCTACAAAGCTATAGTAATCAAGGCAGAATGGAATTGGCATAAAGACAGACTTAATAGATCAATGGAATAGAATTGAGAGACCAAAAATAAACCCTTACATTTATGGTCTTTTGAGTTTTGAGAGGATTGCCACAACTAATTAAATGAGGAAAATGAATTATCCAAAATAGTGCTAGAACAACTAGATATCCACATGTAAAAGAATGAAAGTAGACTTTTACCTAAATCATATAAAATTAAAACTGATCAGAAAGCTAAATATAAAGCAAAAAGCATTGGTATAAATCTTTGCCATCTTTTGCACTAGGTAATGTGTTTTTTAGATATAACACCAAAAACACAGCAAACAAAAAACAAGTAGATGAGTTGAAATCCGTAACATTAAAAAAATTTCCATGCTTCTAAGGATGCTGTCAAGAAAGTAAAAAGCTAACAAACAGAATGAGAAGTATTTGTAAGTCATATGTCTCATAACGGACATATCTAGAATATCTAAACATTTCTTACAACTCAATAATGCAAAGATAATCCAATTAAAAACTGTATAACTGATTTAAACAGATATTTCTTAATAAGAACATGAAAATATGATTAACATCACTAGTCATAGGGAAATTCAAGTAAAAAACCCTAATGAGGTACCATGTCCTGTGTTCTGATTAAAAAAGGCATTAACAGATATTGATGAAGATGGAAAGAAACTGGCGCTCTTTTTTTTATTTTTTCCTTCTTTTTTTAAAAAAATTATTGTTGTACTGGAGGTACATTGTGACATTTACCAAAGTTCTTACAATATACCCTAGCTGAATTTACCCTCTCCATTATTCTCCTTTATCCCCTCTACCCCCATTCCTAAAATAGTTTTAACAGGTCTCATTTTTCCATTATCGTATATAAGTATCACATTATTGATTTTTGTGTGTTAATACTCTATCCAAAACTGGAACTCTTATAATTTGGGGTGGTATTGTAAAGTGGTGCATTCTTCTTAGAACATGTTCTGATAGTTCTTCAGGATTTCAAACATAAAACAACTATGTGGTACAGCAATTCTCCTTCTAGGTTTATACCCAAAAGAATTGAAAACATATGTCCACACAATGACTTATACATGGCTGTTCACAGCAATATTATTTTAATAGCCAAAAAATGGAAACATCACAAATGTTCGCCAGCTGTTGAGCAGATAAACACATTCCTAGAACGGAATATGATTCCTGCCAGTGAAGTTCAACTCTACCTTTCAGAGATATTATTCCTATAAAAATACAGAGTTTCTAACCTATTGAGATCACCATAAGAAGCAGACTAAGGTAGAACGGAGAAAAATGGAGGGAGTGAAGCAATTTGGAATATAATACATAGATACTTGGAAATGTCATAATGAAACTCCCTGTATAGATGTCTTAAACAAAAATGTCTGTTTTTTTTTTTAAAGGAGGACAGGAAGGTAAAAACAGATCCTGTCTGGGGGTTGCTACCAGTGGGAAGGGAAGGACATAAGGAAAAGGTGTAGGAAGGTGAATGTGATGAAAATATTAAGTACTCATGTATGAAAATGGAAAAATGAGACCTGTTGAAACAATTCTAAGAGTGTGGGAGGAGGGATAAAGGAGAATGATGGAGGGGATGAATTTAACTAAGATGTATTATAAGCACTTTGTAAATTTCACAATGTACCCAAGTACAATAATAATAATAATTTAAAATTCTAAAATCTTGTATCTTCAGGTTTTTTTAAAATTCATATTGTTGAGGACCATTTACACATAGTAGAATTGACCCTTTTTAAATTGTACAACTCAATGTACTTTGAGAAATATATATATTATATATATATAATCATGATAATGAGATATAAAACATTTCCATTGCCCCCAAAATTTCTCTCATACCTCTTCATAGTCCTTGCACTGCATCCCCAATACGTGGCAACCACTGATGTGATTTCTGTCCATGTAGCTTTACCTTTTTTAAGGATATTATTTAAATTGAAGCACGACATATGCCTTTTTGATAATGAACCAACGACTTAGATTGATGCTATTGCACTTTGCAGAGAGTACGAGATCATTAGTTCTGCAAGTATGTGTAAACATGTCACCATGGATTCTTCTGTGCCAGAACTTTTAGCTTCTAGTCATGGTGCAGGTATGAGATTTTACAAATGGGAGTTACTAGACAGAATTCTGGTAGCAGCTGTGTGTAAACCTGAAATCAGGACTTTATTAATTTTTCCTCTGACAGCCTAACTAGATTATCTGATGTTCTTGTAGTTTACATTATGCCTTTAGATACAAGGTGGTGATCTTGACTTTTATCTGGGCAAACATTGAGTAAGTAAATAGCTCTTTAGCCTTGAGAGAAGCCACATATCTTATAAACTTCTGTGGCTTCTAGGCCCCTGACTTGGAAAGATTGATGTATTTTGTGGCAATATATGTGACAAAAGATGAAGAACATATTCTAATCTGTGTATTTTATTCTATTATACTATAATCTGTTTTTTTGTTTTTGCTAAGTTTGAGAAAAAGAGCATAACTCCCCAGTCAGATATACTTAAAAGAATCACATTTACTATGACTTGGTTGCCAGCAGAAGTGTTTTTAATGATTAAAAAGAACGTTTCTATTTTATGTTATAGAAACAGTCAAATGCTTGATGAAGACAATATAATAAATGAAACATCAGAGTCTTCTGTGATTAATTTACCTGATAAGACAACTGGTGCCTCACAGCCAGAAAGAAGCACAGAAGTAACCAAGACCCAGACTACTACCACAGATAGTGTGGTGAGAAACAAGATCCCATCCACTTACAACACGTTCTTCAAATTATATTAAGGAGAGAAAAGACAGCTAAAATAAGGCATATCATAAGTCTTGGTGGTGTTGATCTGCTTTTGTTGTTTCAAAGTAAAGCTCTCAAGAATATCACACTGGGCTAACATTTCAACTAGTAGATCTAATGAGTTTAAGAAATTTAACTGTCTTGGCTGGAGATGTGGCTCAAGTGATAGAGCACTTGCCTAGTAAGTGCAAGGCCCTAAGTTTAAATCCCAGTACCACCAAAAAATAAAAAATACTTAAGAAAGTCTCAGTCCACAGTAGGAGATGAATATTTCAGTGGTAGTTTTCTGCAAAGTAAAAATAAATTTACAAATTCATTAAGGATGCATAGTTATCTTAAGGAATGAATTTATAGGTGCCCTCTTTAGTCTTTTATAGGTGAATGTACAGACTTTAGCAAGCAACAGTCAAACCCTACCCAGAGGAAAAGAATCCTTCCAGCTTGGATGTTAGTAGAAAATTTAAGTGATAAAGACCTTTCAGCATCTGTCATCAGTGGAGGTAGGTCTTTGTTTCTGCTTACGATGACTTTCAAGAAAACATTAGCAGAATTTAAAAGTTTTTTCTGAACAAATATAGAGTAGTATTGTGTGTGGTATAGCTTAGCCTAAGACTTATTTATTTATTTGGACAAGGTCTTTCTAAGTACCCCAAGCTGGCCTTGAACTCGGCATCCTTCTATCTTGGTCTCCCAAATGCTAGTATCACAGGGATGAATCATTATTCCTACCAGCCTAAGAATTTTTTAGATGTGTACCTGAATTCTAATTAAAAAAATAATCTGTTACTTTATGCCATTTATCAAACACCATCCTGGTGACTTTTTTCATTTAAAAAGCTCTTTTATCTTATTGTCAAACTTATAATATTAATATAGATTTTCAAATGAACCTGTTAGTGAAAAGGGAAGCACAATAAGAGCACTTAAAGTTAATTTCATTAAAAAATGCCAGATGCACAATATTTGTGCTGGGAGATTCAAAGATTTGACCTCTGTCCTAGTGCAACTTTACTGATATGGCCATATGGCAGATATCACCATGATTCTCCTAATAGGAATTCCTGTTGTTTCAAGATTTTAAAAATGTTTACTAATTGTCATATTTGGGAAATTCTTCATTTATTGGGAAGTAACAGAACTTATTCAGACTAATTTAATTAAAGGAGAACTTACAATGTTAGTCAAGTTGTCTCTGCAAATTCAAGTACAGGAAGTATGTAACAGGTCTCATGGGAGATGGTGATCAGGCAGTACCTCCCTTTTCCTTCTCTGTCCAGAGACCTCTCTTGTTTCTCTCTCTTAGTAGCAGAGGCTGATGCTTTCTGTTTTCCTATGACTTTGCACAGGGCTTTAGCTTACCTAACTTCTGGTATGGGCCTAACTCTTCTCTCCTTAAGCCCTCACTACCAACTAGTTACTGGGAAGCTGTGTTTTCTGAATTGTAAATTTCAGGCAAGAGAATCAGTCTGGCCCACTTTGAGCCAGGCCCTCCAGATTGAGGTTTTCTAAGAACGTGTTATCAGGAAGGAAGTGATTGCATTTCTAATATACATATGCAAAACTTAGTCAAAAACCTATGTAAATAGTTTTTAAATTCCTCCAGTTCTGCTATATAGCATTTCTTATTTATTTTAATTGGCAAAGTAATATATATGGAATACAAGGTAATATTTTGAAAGATTTAATTAATATATCTATCACCTCACCAACTTAAATTTTTGTGGAAAGAATATTAAAAATCTATTTTAGCAATATTGAAAAACAATACCTTATAACCTGTGGTCACCAGGCAGTACAGTAGGTCACTAAAACTTACTCTGCCAGTCTGACAGAAACTTTGTACCCTTTGATCAGCATCTCCTCTTTTTCTGTCTCCGTCCCTTCTTGTCAACCTCTGATAACTACTTTTCTACTCTCTATAAGACCAATGTTTTTAGATTTCACATATATGTGATATCATAGGTAGTGTTATCTTTCTGTGCCTGACTTATTTCAATTAATGTAATGCCCTCTAGTTCCAAGTTGTAGCACATAACAGAACTTCCTCCTTTTAAAGGCTATATAGTATTCCATTGTGCATATTAAAATTATGCATTATATATATATATATATATATATAATTTTGCCTGAGTAAGACAGTTACTAAACATTTAAAAAATCTTAAAACAACAGGGATACCTAGCAGAAGACATAATTATGCTAGCTCCTATATCAGTAAGAGGTTACACCTAAAATTGTATGTATCTACATAGATACATAGATAAACACACACAAACCATGTTTCTTTATCTATTCATCTGTTGATGACACATAGATTGCTTCTTTATCTTGACCGTTGTGAATAATGCTGTAGTGAGCATGAGAATGATAGTCAGCTTTTCATGACTCTAACAAATGCCTGCACTAATCAGTTTATAGAGAGATAAGGCCTATTTTGGCTCACAGTTTTGGGGATTTCAGTCCATGATCTGTTGGCTCTGTTGCTTTGGGTTGTTTCAGCTATCAAAGTACTTTTCAAGGATTTTTCTACAGAATATAAAAACTGATGAAATAGGAAAATGGGAAACCTTACAAACTTTAAACATTGTCTTTTTAATTTTCATTGTGAAAAATTTTTAAATAAAAGAAAAAGGAATGATTAATCTCCACACCCATTACATAGCTTTAATGATTAACAGTGTAGGCTGGGAGTGTGGCTTCACTGGTAGAGCACTTGCCTAACATGTGCAAAGCCCTGGGTTAAGTCCCTAGTACTATAAAAAACAAAAGGACAAAACAAAACATAACCCGAACAATATTCTGAGTTTCTTATTCCATTATTACTTATTGCAGTCTTTTGTGTCTAACTTACTTTTCTCAGCCAAGTTTCTTAAGACTCATTTATACTTTTTATATATAAAATATATTTTTTATTTTAAAGAGTATTCTGTTATTGACTATCAGATTGTTTATTCACTACCCTATTAATGGACATTTGGATTGTTTTCAGTTTGATGTTATTGTGAAAAAAGCTTCAATAAGTATTCTTATCCAAGTACATTTGTAGACATGTTTTAATTTGTCTTAAATAATCATGGAACAGTGAAACTGCTAAATCAGTGATTAGATACATGTTCTTTTTTACAAAGCAGTTGTACCATTATATAGGCCCTAGAAATATATGAGAGAGTTCTAGTTACTCCACATATTCACTCTCCTATAGTGTTGTAGTCTTTTAAATTTTAGCTATTTCTTAAGTATGTAGTAGTACTTTACTATGTTTTATTAAAAATCTGAATTATTGAAGTATACTTTACATATTCTTTCAGAAGTGTACAACTTTGCATTAATTTAGGTCTTCTTTTCTTTTTTTTCTTTCTTTCTTCTTTTTTTCTTTTGCACTACTGGGGCTTGAACAGAGCCTACACCTTGGGCCAGTCCATCAGCCCTATTTTTGTGAAGGGTTTTTTTGAGACAGGGTCTTGCAAACTATTTGCCTGGGCTGGCTTAAAACCTCGATCCTCCCGATCTCTGCCTCCTGATAGTTAGGATTACAGATGTGAGCTGTGGTGTTCTTTTATCCTGATTTTTTTTTTTTTTTTGTGGAGGGGGTGGATAATGGAGTATTGACATTTAAAGGTACAGAAGATAAGTTTCTTCTTTTTCTTTATATGTGTGTGTTTGTATGTCTTTCAGATAAAAACATAATCCAGGAAAGTGGAAAAGAAGGAATCTATAAAGATGAAACTCCAGTAAATGTGACACAGCAAGGAAGAAAGCGACTAATTTCATCAGAAAATTCAGAAAGTGTATCAGCAGAACAAGATGCAGGAAAAAAGTATAAAAATTTTGATCAAGAAAAGGCAGCTATTTCCTCCAAGGTGATTTTTAAAAGAGTCATTATTATTTATTTTCTTTCAGGTGTTCTAGATAGGAATTATCACTTCTCAGCCTTTTGGATAAGATCAAGTGATTGGAATTAATTATGCTATATACATCAAGGAGAAAGCAAAACTGCTTTTATTATTGAGTTTGTGAAGATAAAAACTAGATCAAAATTTTGGGGCTTACTTTAATTTGTAACATACAGTTAGTATTTGCATTGTAGAAAACACGGCTATTAAATTTAGAAATTTTAAGACTAGAAAAAAAGTGGAGATTGCTTAACTCTGGTCATAACTTGTTACCTCCATTCTGAAAACCTGGCTGTTTCCATTCCAGTGGTCATTAATGGACTTCATGTTGAACACTCTTGTCTTGAAATTTGAAGAGAACACATGATGTGGTAATTCTAAACAATTGACACAAGATTACTTCTGCAGTGGTCGTTACAGTATTTAAAGACCTTTTCTTCTTTCAGTTTTTACTAACTCACTAGAATGGTTTGGCTGAATTGACATTCCTTAACATTGGATATTTAAAGATAAGAGAGTCCTATTCATTGGATGCTTTTTTTAAAAGAGAGAAAGCTAGAGATATCCCCAGGGCTGAAAGTTCAGGCATTTTTCTTCTCTGGAGACATATGGTTTATGGTAACAGGTTTCTTGACACTTACTGTAGATCAGTGGCTAAGCTTTGTGGGTCTCAGGATGAGTCAAATGAATAGAGTGGGTCTTAGAAGAGTGTGCCCTGGGATAATTGAAATGTCAACAGCTATTATAGAGCCAAATTCTTTTGTGTACTGCCCTCACTCCTGCCTTCTCCCCAAGAGAGAGGAACCAGCTGCTCACTGATACCCATCTTCCAGCTAGAGAAGTAGGTGTAGTCCCTCCTGATTCAACTCCTTTGCTTACTGATGGAGTCAAGTTTAATAAATAAAAACAAAATGTATTCTGGCTCATGTATATTTGCCATAAAAACTTATTAAAATAAAACTTATATAAACTTTGAGTTCTCCTGGACTCTTTGAACTCTGGCCATATCAATTGACTGCCTGTTTTTCAAGAAGAAAAATTATTTTGTTCAGAAGAAAATCTGTAGTATATGTATTTTACTATGTTTATCCCAACTGATAAGGTTTGATAATCATAAGAAAAAGTTTAAGGAATGTCTTAATTGATAGGCAGAGATACAAGATATTCAAGGTATTTGTCAGGTTTTGATGATGTCAAAGAGGTATTACAGTCAGGTCTCAGGAGGCAGGAGCTCTGCTCAGCAAGCCAGGCCTTTCCAAAGCCCACCCTCTATCTTTGCCCAGTCTTCATCTTAATCACTGGTGATTAACCAGTCTGGAAGGGATGGCCACAGTGCAGTATAGGTGTGAGAGAGAGTGAAATGTGAGAAAAAACAGTAAGTTGGGCAAACCTATCTAGTCTGATGGCTGGAGGTTGCCAGTTACAAAGAATGCTGAGCTGTTTGGCCAGACCAGCAGAGTAGACATGGGTCAATTTACTTGAAAAGGATCAATTACAAAGGAAGAGTAAGAAAGAATGGAGGGAAAGGATAGAAATCACCTTTCCCCAACTGGGTCTTTTCCTGTGATTCTGACTCATTTAATTTGTGTATAAGTTGTATCTTAAATAAACTCTCATTTTTAATGTGTCCTCAAAGTTAAGAGCTTCTGATGTACCACCATTCAGTACCTCAGGAAAATGAGGTCCCAGGTCACCTTGCTAACACCTTTGGGTATCAAACACAGTCTTTTCATTTTGGGTAGGATTTTTTTTTTGTACCACACATATTAGACTGTGCACAACAGTTCATGACTCTAATAATTTATCTTCATGAAGATGATTGCTCTGAAGTAGTCCATATATTTCAGCAGTTCTCATATGTCTTTCTGCAGCTCCTTACAAATTATGTAATTGTCTAATTTCGGTTCGAAAATGAGGATTCTTGAATTAATGAATGAAAACAATGGTTGCTATGGTTTGAATGTTTTTGTCCCCTCCAAAAATTCATGTTGAGGAGAGAGGGACAAGATGGTGAAGCGGTAGAAGCTTCCTCCATTGGACCCCTTGGGTAAATCTGGATAACAAAGAAGAGACTACATACAGAAGAGCAAAAGAGAGGAAGAGCACTGAAAACCACAAAAGAGGGACAAGACAACTGTACAGGGAAACAGAAAGGTGACAGAGTAAATTAAAAAACAGTTTGAGGTTCCCACCCCAGCTGCCAGACAAGACAATCCTTCTTTTCCCTTATCTCAGAGAACTATGGCAAGGTGCCATCTTGAGAGAGGGCCTCCTGATCAAGACTAAAAACAAAGAGCAATACTGCTTAGGGAGTCTTGAGACACCTGACCTCAGTGTATGGGAGGGGCATGGCCACAAGAGACTTCTGGAGAGATTTTGACTTGCGGAGAGCTGAGAAGTTAAAGGGAGCTGGAGAAGGGAAATGTGTAGTATTAGTGGCCTGGCCCAACTGCCTGTAGAAAATTTTCAAAACAAAGTACCTGTTCTTTACTGGTAGTGAGATCGGATTTCTGAAGTTCCTTGCAGGCAGGTGAACTTTGAGACTGAGAAAACCAGGGGACTTGAAAAATCACAGCCCAGAGATTTCTGGGATCCCCAGCTAGTGTCGGTGTGAGAGTCTGTCACCAGAGGCAGATAGATACAGAGAAGAAGAAGACTGGACTGGGGGCAATCTGAGGGTCCCTAGCAGGAGCCCAGGAAGCAGCAAAAGGCCCAGAGGTCAGCAGCCTGCCCAATCCTACCACAGCAGCTCCATTAAATAAGGTCAATTCCAGCACCAAGCCCGCACTGAGTGCTCAAATTAAAGCAGCTGATTGTCTGCAAACTGCTGACAGGCAGCTGAGCCTTGAAACTGAGTGACTGGGGATTTAAAGGGTCTCAGCTTGGGGACTTCCAGTCTTAGAACCACAGTGTCTACATGGGAGATTGCCACCACAGGCAAATGAAGACAGGGAGAGGGTTAGACTGGGATTAATCTCAAAAGCAAGAAAAGGCTCAGAGGTCAGTGGTCCTGGGCTTCCAACTACAGGAGCTCCATCAACTAAGGTCCTGCTCACTAAGGCCCTACTCACTGAAGGAGTGGCCCCACTAGCTCAGACCTCACCAGGAAGGCTCAGTCTGTAAGGACAGAGGCCATGCAGTCCCAGAACAACTCCAGGGCAAAGTGCTTTAAGAGAATTTCCCTGGAGTGTGTCAGCCACACAGTCTGAGCTGCCTTCCTCTGATGTCCTACCTGCACCTAAGCTACAGGTGCAACTTCACCCTCTCTAAGCTACTCCGATAACAACTGAGGCAAGAATAATTATCTTGGACAAAACACAGGGAGTACCAGCTCTTTTCTGTAGTGAGAAATAAAAGGTTTTGCCCCCCATCCTTTTTTCTTTTTTTCTCTTCATCTAATTTGTTTTCTTCCTTTTTTGGTGGGGGGGCGGTGAGACACTTTCATTGTCATAGAGGAATAAACTCAAATAAAAAATGGATGAAAGAGGATATGAGGACTTCTAATATTTAACTAACATATGAGAATGTCCAGGCTGCCCAACACTGGGGAAATGAATATTAAAACCATGACAAGAGCACAGAGCAGATGTTAAAACCTCTCACAGTCCAGGTGTTGGCAAGGGTGGGCAGGGCTTCTGAGAGCTGATTCATTTGGCTGTTTATTTCCCCTTCCCTTCCTTCCTTCCTTCTTTCCTTCTTTCTCTTTTAAAAAAAAAATTCGTTTGAAAAAAAATTCTTTTTTTTCCTTATCTTTCAAACAATTCTGTTTCTCATACTATTATCTCCTATACCTACCTCCCCTTCTTTCTATCTTTCTACTCCCCTCCCTTCACCACACCCATCCCCTGTATTACTCAATTTCTATTCCCTATACTTTCCAACCAGGGTTAAGCTCCCAGATCATTGCCCTAGAAACCAGAGTTGTGCTCCAACACAGCCTTAGTTGGGAGACAGATAAGGGTTCCAGTTTTTTACTCATTCAAATACTAGACTTATTGCTGAATTGTTAACCTTATTACTGCAGTGGGTTCTCCACTTATGCAGGAAGTAAAAGAGAAACTGACTAACAGATGCACAAATTACAGCATAGGAATTTAAATATGAAAAACCAAGGCAGTGTCTCTCCTCCAAATGCCCATAACAACACAACAGCTGAATCCAAAGATAATAAATTGGCTGAAATGTCAGAAATAATTCAGAAGACTACTGATAAAAATGGCCAGTGACTTCAAAGAGGATTCAAATAAACATATAAATGAAGTTAGGAAAACAATCTAAGACTTAGACAAGAAAGTCAGCAACATGGAAGAGAAATTCTACAAGGAAATGGAAATTGTGAAAAATAACCAAGCAGAAATGTTAGAAATAAAAACCTCAATAAATCAGCACAAACCACAGTGAATAATATTATCAATGGACAAGGTCAAACAGAAGAAAGAATATCAGAGATGGAGGACAAGATGGAGGATTCCATTCATGTGATTGCATGAAGATAATCACAAGGAAAAAGATGAATATATATGATTACAACATACAAGAACTCTGGGACATAATCAGAAATTCAGGTTGAAAGTTAATCCCCACTGCAGCAGTATTGGGAGGTAGAAGTAATCCTTTATAAATGGATTAAAGTTGCTATGAAAAGGGCCTGCAGGGGTGGGTTTGCACTTTTTTGCTCTTCTGCCATGTAAGAACACAGAAAGAAGGTCCATACCAGATGCCAGCCACTTGATCTTGGACTTCCCAGACCCCAGAACTGTGAGAGAATTAATTTCTGTTACTTATAAATTACCCAGTCCGTGGTATTCTGTGACAACAGCATAAAACAGACTAAGACAGTGGTATTTCTTTACATAATCTAATAAGTTTGTCATAACTGACAAAAGGAAGCCTAACTCAAGCAGATAAATCAATAGTCTTTCCTGTGAAATGCAAGCACAACACTTAGTGGCCTGCTTTCTTATGTTTTATAATTCCATAGCTTGGTTGGCTCAGTTGGGTAATTCTTTTCTGACATGTTTTTGGTGTCAGCGGGACTACATGTAGCTGGAAGCTGAGCTGAGGCTGGAACATCCTAGATGGCTTCACTCACATGAATGGTACCTCAGTAAGGTTGATGGATAGCTAGGAGCTGGCTAGGCCTACCTCCTTCCACTATGATGAAGTTGTCTAGACTAATTATCTTTATCTGACAGCTGAAAATAGAAGATTACAGACTTTTTAAGGCCTAGGACTAGAAATTGATACAGTGTCTTTTCTACCACATTCTTTTGGTCAGAGTAAGTTGCCAAGTCCCACGTAGATAGGATGGCATGTAAAAGAGCAATGGAGATACAAAAACAGTTTGAGAATCCCTAGTCTCAAAATAAAAAATTTGAAATGCCTCAAAATCTGAAACTTTTGCATGCAGACATGCAAAAAGATGTTCAAAAAGTTTTGGATTTGGGGGGCTAGTGGAGTAGTTCAAGCAGTAAGAGCACTTGCCTAGCAAGCATGAGGCCCTGAGTTCAAACCCCAGCACTGCCAAAAAAAAAAAAAAAAGTTTTGGATTTGGGACTTGAAGTATCAAAGTTTGGATTTTCAGGTTAAGGATGCTCAACTGGAGTCTATACAAATATTCCAAAATACAAAAAAAAAAATCCAAAATCTGAAACATTTCTGGTTCCAAGCATTTCATATAATGGATACTCAACCTATAGTAGGCTGTGAACTATTGATCTTAGAAGTCTTTGTGCAAGGTTGGGTAGCAGAAGAGCTCTACTTGGCTAATTGCTCTTTTTCCCTTAGGGCTTTTGAGGGAGATTTACCTCTCATAGCATAAGAGAAATGGGACCTTCAGAGCAAGAGAGAACCTTGAAACAGCTTTAAGCACAGAGATAATCCTCACAGCTCTCTAAAGGAGATTGGAAGAAAACAAAAGTCTTGGGGTAAGGGAAGAGGGTGTGGCATTGACCCAGTTGAGATACAGAGAATCTGAGCCAGGGAAATGATTTTAAGGATGGTGAAGAGGCAGTGGACTAGAAAAATATCTAGAAAGAAAAAATGTAGCACTTATTACTCAGACCTAGGAAAAATAAGGGAAAGAAGTGAAAGACAGACTTCCAAATTTCTTGCCTGGAGGAATGGATATATTGTGTTGGCAGAAACTCTGGTAGAGAATACAGGACTTCAGTTTTAACCCTTTGTGTTTGAGGTACATCAAATATTGAGGAAAAAAATGTTTAGCTATGGTTGAATATATGAATTTGAAGCTCAAGAATAAAGTTAGGAGGTGGGGATTTTTTAGTCATTAGCATATGGATGCTAATGAAGTTGATACAAGATTTTTAAGGCAACCTAGCAGCATGGGACTTTCTTGCGAAGGGTAGCTTAGAAACAAGTTACCTCATTGAATTTGTGTGAGAGGGAAATTCTTTATCCTGTTCCTTGCAGTACATTAAGAGAAGATGGTTGAGGGGCAGGGAAGGGTTTGTTGGGCAGGTTAACAGACTATTTTTTTAGCCTTAACAGTACATTCTAGCCACCTCCAAGCAAAAGGGCACCTGTACCAGCTTCATGCTTCTTGGCCACTGAAGTTTCTAACATGTTTTTTTCTTTGTTAGGAGATCTGGCCATCCTATCAATGAATCTCCAGTCTTCTACACTTAGTTCTTCACATTTTCATCTAATCTTAAGAAATAATCAGAGTGGGATGCTTATAAAAAAAAATAAAGCTTTCTTTCTTCCATCTTCCATAGAAAAGGCATCATTCAGCTTTCCGGTTCCCTCACTCACTAGTTTAGTAACTTGCTCAAGCTCTTGAGCTTTGTAATTTATGTCTCAGCGAACTTACAAATTACTGCATGTAATGGATTTTGGGGATCATTTATAAATAATTGAAATCATGAATGTTAAATTCTTATATGCCAAGGGTTAGTATATATCAATATTTCATGGAGTTCCATAAAGAGCAGTACAAATTCCAGCTTTTGTGCCTCTTAAAAATATATTTGAGAACCCCTGATCCATAGTATTGATACTTTGTTTCCTTAACATTCCCTACTCTTTTAGAATAAATTAACATGTTTAATGTGCTCCTTATAAGGACTTAAAGGTTTTTTTTTTGTAAATCTAATTCTTCTTTATGTTTGGTGGAACTAGAGGAAGTTGAACTATGATTCTATATGTTTCATTTCTTATTTTCTTTGGTTTTCCTTTTTTAAATAACATAATACATGTTTATTGTCAAAAATAGAATATTCAGAAGCATGTGGAGTAAAGAGGGAAAACTTTGACTTGCTTCATCTTTCTATCACATTGTCTTACTAATATTTTGTATCATTACAAACCTTTTCATTTGTATTTACACAGGTAAATACACAAATATATTAAATTTAAAGCTAAATGGAATCATAGTGTATATACTGTTATTGTTTAATTAAAAACATCTTCAGATATTTCACTGTTATTTCAATGTCTGCATAATGTTTTATTATAGTAAGAATGTATTCTAATTTGTCTCTTTTTTCTATAATAAGTGTAATAGGATGTTTAGTGTAATTTTTTTTTCCCAAACAGCTTCTGTGGCCAGAAATTGGGAAATAAAGTACTAAGTATGAGTATCCCTTGTTTGAAAGATGCCTCCAGCAGTGGTAGCTAACTCTTCCCTTGTACGGCTTTTTGAAAAGTATGCAAAATGTTCAACATTCCTATACCTCTTCCCCAGGTTTTTATAAAAGAGACCTGAGAGGCTTGGAAGTTTTAAGATATAGGAGAGTGCAGTGTTTGGGTGGAGAAGTTAACTTCCTTTCTTAAATCAAGAGAAGAATGGCATTCTAAGAGAATGACTTGTGGAGTTTGGAAATGCCAACAGGAACAAGAGACTGACATTTTATTGGGTATCTGTTTAGCTGGTGGACAGCTAAACTGAAAATTATGGACAGCTGATTTAGTAGGGGACTATCGAGTGTATAGGTAGATTAGCATTACCTCCCTCCCAGTCCAGAGTTCCACATGCTTGCATGTGCCTGTTGGTCTTGCAATAGAGGGAAATAAGATTGGGGTATAGTTGAGGCAGAGTGTATGAGTTAGAGGAATGTGGCATGAATGCCACCAGCCAAGAAATAGCCAAATGTTCGCTTTTTCCATAGGCTGTTACTGTACAGAAGCAGGTTCCATTTGCAAAGTGATTAGCCATTTTGCATAGTATTTTGAAGTTATATCCTGTGTTTTTTTAGAAAAATATATTAAAATACTTAATTAGTCCAACAATATGTTAAGAAATTTGAGCCATTGGATCTTAAGTAATGTCAAAACCAGCTTTTTTTCCAAATGGCAGCCAATCTACGTGTGTCTTTACTTATAGGTGGAGGTGAACATTTTTGTGTATCTCGTATGTTGTCATCACATCCTAGACAAGGTTAAGGAGGACTGTGTTTATCTGAGCAATGTTTCTACTCCAAAGGAAATACAAGTAGTGAAAAGGTCATTTTTAACAAGATGAGACAGGGCTTTCTCTTTATGTTAATGGCAATTACAGATTTAAAAAGGTTCTACAGTGCTAATGAGATTGAGAGCACCTTTAAATTGGATAAACTGAAACTTTGACTCAGACCATTTCAAAGGAAACATCCTTTGTTTCTGAATTGGTTATAACATCCCTTCATGCAATTGTTTCTGTGAGCATGGGAGTTTTATTCAGCTATGGAAAACCATGATTATGTTCAGAGGGTAGAAACAAAGTATTTCTTTTAAAATATAACAAGTATTTGTTTTAAAATATTTATTTATGATTCTTTTCCTGATTTTTTTAATAGAAAATGCCAGAATCACTTTCTACAATTACTTTAAGTAACACAGATATGAATACTGTGACGACTAATACACAGAGAAACAAAATTGAAGTAGAGGAACCTGGTAAGGTTTCTGAACACAAAGTTATGACTAAAAGAACACCTAATGAAGAAGGGGAGGCAGTGAATTGTTCTGCGAGTTGTATGAGTGTCCAAAGCAAGTCATTCCCCTATGAGTCTCAAGGATGCCGTCCTGATTCCAGCTCTGATCCCTCCAGTCCTGAGACTTTGCAGGCAAAGGCAACTGAATTGGTTCCACAAGATTCAGAAGAAAACATGGTGAAGAGGACATCCTGCATGTATGGACCAAACTGCTACAGGTAAAGTGAAATCTCAGTTATACTTGCACTGTTTCAACAGCATGTAGCTATATAAATATATGCTATAGTATATCAAAAACTTAATAAAACTTATTGGCCTAAAAGTTAGAAGCTTTACCATATTTCTACCAGGTTGCACTTTCTCTGTATGCATTCTAGAAAATCCTGCCAGAAGCTTTTAAGATACAATGGGGAATTAAATGTTTTATGTGTAGACATGCTGACTAATGCAAGAGTCTGAATACTGGGAAATCTAGACTTGAAAACTGAATCACTCAGACTTAAATACCTGCTTATTTAATGTCTTAATGTTAGAGAGATGGTTTCATAAATAGTTGTTGTAGATAGTCTATTAAGATAATTTTAGATTATTAGACATCTTGTTGCATTTGTGTACTGTTCTTAACATTTTTCTGATGAAAACAATTTTTTTTCCAATTTCATATTTTTAAAAATTAGAAATAAAATTTTTGTGAGCTCATAATTTGTGAATTGAAATTATGATCTCTTAGTTTTATGCTATGGTTTTAAAAGGTTTATAATAGTGTGTATATAATTACACAGTCCTATTTCAAAAGTATTTCTTTGCCATTTCAACTTGTTAAACTAAGTATTATAAAGGTGCATTTTAGTAAATTGTTGCCTTTTATGCAAATAGTATATTTACATCACATATTCTGTTCATTTCACACTCATTATTTCTCTTTAAAATACATTGTCATTTTAGTACTTGAATAACCATATTTTTTAATTACAGTAGTTCTGATTATTTTTATTTATATACAGTTTTGTCTATTTGCAATATTACATCTAGAATACAACATTAATATTTAGAAGAGTAAAAGTCTTCTGTTTGGATTTTGAAAAATCCTATTTGGTATTTGTATTCATTCACTAGTTCCACCATAACAAAATACCAGCGTCTGGATCGTAAAACAACAAAAATTTATTTTCTCCCTGTTCTGGAGACTGGAAATTGTTGATCCAGGTGTTGGCACATTTGGTTTCTCCTGAGGCTTCTTTCCTTAGCTTGAAGATGGCCCCTTTCCTGCTGTGTTGTCACATGGAATTTTCTCCGTCCTACCACCTCCCTAGTGTCTGTTTCTCATCTCAGAAGGATAATAGGCATATTGTGTTAGGGGCCCACCATTATGACCTCATTTAACTTTAATTATCTTTTTCATGACCCTGTCTCCAAATATAGTCACATTGGGCATTGGGGCTTAACACATGAACTTTGAGGGGGACACAGTTCAGTCTACAGCAGTATTCAATGCTGTCACTTGTCTTTGTTAAAAGTTGGTTGAATATTTTGTCAAGATCATAATTCCTTCATTCATATTTGAAAATGATTCATTTCAGTTTTAATCAGTCAGTTTTGGTTACTTTAATTTTCACTGATTTTATATACACAATAACTGAGAAATATTTAACACTTAAATCATAAAAACAGTATGTTTGTATTTTTAGCAAAAGGTGAGGAAATGATGAATATTGAGTTGTTATAAATATATGTGCACATCATAAAAATCATTTAAATGTAGCTTTTCTTCAGTTTCAATATTATTGCTTTTAGTTCATGTCACTTGCTCTCTTTAGAACAAGTGAATAATCTCTTGAGTCTCCATACTTTTTCCTAAGTTTACATTCTTCTTTGTTGCCTCAGTGATTTGGCTAACAAAAACAAAGATGAAAAGAAAGAAAAGAGAGAGAGAGAAAAGCCCACAACATTACTTTCTGGTACAGAATCTTTGAGTGGCTGTGGTCCAGATTTCATCACTTGATCCAGAAGATCCTGAACCCCTATACTTTTCTGAGTCAATTGTGCTATTTTATGCCCTTCTCTTCATCTTATTCCTGTCATGCTTAGAAACACTGCTCACATTTAGCTCCTTTCTGAGTCTTTTTTTTGACATTCCTATTCTCCCCTAAACTGCTAATCTCCTATGCAATGTGTTTTACCTCTACTGTTTCTAATATTTGATATTAGATTGAATATTTAATGTCTAACATTATATTTATAACTATTTATGTGTTCTGTCTCAGTCATATTTAATCCCATGATGTCATGGTATTGACTCCCAAATCTTCTCCAAAACAGATTTCTGTATGGAATTTTATATCCAGGTATACCACTTAAATCCACATGAACATCAAATTCAGCATTTCTAAAGCACAAGCATATTATTTCAATCCTTTATGAAACAAAATAACAACACAGTAACATAAGAATCTTTTGAAGCCAGGCATGGTCGTACACACCTGTAATCTTAGTACTTAAGAGCTAAGTGAGTAGAATCATGAGTTCAAGGCCAGGCTGTGCTACAGAGTGAGACCCTGTCTCCAAAACAAAACAAAACCAAAAACAAAGAAATGAATAATATTTTTTATCTTTTGGGATTGTATAGTCTTTCTTTTGATACCATATACTTCATTAATAAACTGTTTTTAAAAATCAGGCATAAGTTGAATTATCCTCTTACTAGCATATAGGAAATTTACATGTTAATTATAACCTGTAGCTTTTATCCATATAAAGTCACATAAATCACTTAAAGGTTAATAGTATATAATAGTGTTTTCACTTCTGGTAATGGTGAAGTATCTGCTTGAAGACCAAACCTCCTACTGAGAACAACTAGAAAAACTGAACACTCAACATTTGAAAAAATCATCACTGGCCAGGACTTTTGGGACTTTGAGTGTTCTTTTCTCTTTGTGTCAGTTGCCAGATTTTTAATGTTGCAGACTGAGGGCTAAGAGGCCAAGTAGTCTCTTGAGGGACCAGACAACAAAAAAGGAATTCAATGTTTGGCAACCAGGAGAGGTCCTGAATATGGAAACATAGACATCTGGAAGGGAAAATAAGAGTATAAATATAAATGAATATTGGTTATAGTAAGCAGTAATAATTTAAGTGATGTGTAAAATATATGTGAAATTAAAATATATGAAAATAGCACAAAAGTACTTAGTAATTAAAGCAAGTGTTTGTTTAAAGTGCTATAATATCTGGAAAATTATGCTATAATTTGTGCCATTCTAATAAGTTAAATCACTGTGTAATCAGAAAAGTAATATTATTAACAAGCTGTGGAAATGGGGAAATAAGATCATTTTAAAAATATGGTCAACAAAAGAAAGGTAAGAAAGAAAAAAGAAACAGCATGTTTGATAAATAGAAAATGGAGCACTGCACCATCTCTAGCAATAAAGGAAATGCAAATTAAAACCACACTAAGATTCCACCTCACCCCTGTTAGAATAGCCATCATCAGCAACACCACCAACAACAGGTGTTGGCGAGGATGCGGGGAAAAAGGAACCCTCTTACACTGTTGGTGGGAATGTAGACTAGTACAACCACTCTGGAAAAAAATTTGGAGGCTACTTAAAAAGCTGGACATCGATCTACCATTTGATCCAGCAATACCACTCTTGGGGATATACCCAAAAGACTCTTACTCCAGAGGCACCTGCACATCCATGTTTATTGCGGCACTATTCACAATAGCCAAGTTATGGAAACAGCCAAGATACCCCAGCACTGACGAATGGATTAAGAAAATGTGGTATCTATACACAATGGAATTTTATGCAGCCATGAAGAAGAACGAAATGTTATCATTCGCTGGTAAATGGATGGAATTGGAGAACATCATTCTGAGTGAGGTTAGCCTGGCCCAAAAGACCAAAAATCGTATGTTCTCCCTCATATGTGGACATTAGATCAAGGGCAAACACAACAAGGGGATTGGACTATGAGCACATGATAAAAGCGAGAGCACACAAGGGAGGGGTGAGGATAGGTAAGACACCTAAAAAACTAGCTAGCATTTGTTGCCCTTAATGCAGAGAAACTAAAGCAGATACCTTAAAGCAACTGAGGCCAATAGGAAAAGGGGACCAGGAACTAGAGAAAAGGTTAGATCAAAAAGAATTAACCTAGAAGGTAACACCCACGCACAGGAAATCAATGTGAGTCAATGCCCTGTATAGCTATCCTTATCTCAACCAGCAAAACCCCTTGTTCCTTCCTATTATTGCTTATACTCTCTCTACAACAAAATTAGAAATAAGGGCAAAATAGTTTCTGCTGGGTATTGAGGGGGGGGAGAGGGAGGGGGTGGAGTGGGTGGTAAGGGAGGGGGTGGGGGCAGGGGGGAGAAATGAACCAAGCCTTGTATGCACATATGAATAATAAAAGAAAAATGAAAAAAAAAAAAAAGAAAATGGAGCACTGGAGCCATTTGTTGGATAGATGGTGGAGTTAAAACCAGATATATCAATAATTACATTATATTGAAAGAGATCAAATGCCTCCAATATATATTCAAAAATTGTCACACTGAATGAAAAGGAAAAAAAAACTCAATCTGCTTATAAGATTCACACCTTAACTATAAGAAGACATAAAGGTTGAAATTTTAAAGATGAAGAAAAGTAAACCCTTAACACTCTAACCAAGGAAGAGCTTGTGTATGCATGCTAATATAAGATAGAGTAAGATTTAAGTCAAGCATTACTAAAGAGGATGTTATGGTTTGCTTCTTTGAAAAGACTAATAGTATTAATAACCACCAGAAGAACTGAAAAAGAAAAGATGGAGAGAAAAAGTAGGCAGGGCAAGGGAGTAGGGACTGTTTAGGGCAGAGGGAAATAAATTATCAGTACTGGGAGTAGCAACAGAGTATTATAAACAAGTTTATGATAGTCAATTGGAATATATGAAAGAAATTCCTAGACGGATTTCTGGTGGGGGAGACCCATACCAAAATGGACACAAAATTATATCTCTTGATAAAAAAAATCCATAATTAAATGGATAACCACAAGGAAAAGTATGCACCCAGGTTACATCACTAGTGAATTAAATTAATTATTTAAGGAAAAAAGTCATATGATTTTTTCAGAGAACAGAAAAAAAAATCTCCCAGCTTATCTTTGAAGTTAGCATAAACTTGATAGCAAAATTCAATAATGATACAGAGAAAAATATC